GGGCCCATATAGACTAGGATGAAAAACCAATAAATCTATCATTTATCTATTAGAATTAGTTTATTTCAGTTGCAATAAATCATGGTTTCAAATAGGATATATAAATTTTAAGTATTGTTTAGTTATCAGAAATAAAAAAATTCAAATAAAAATATATTTAGGTATTGTTTAGTTATCAAAAATAAAAAAAGTGTAAAATAAAAATTAAAGAACGGAAATCACATTTTTCTTTCAATATTATATTTGAAATATTAATAAAGTATTAAAATAAATTTAATATTTTTTAATATTTTATTTTTAAGATAAGTAAAAATAATAATTAAAAAATAATTTTATCATTTATGATCGTAGTAAAATGATAGAAATGATTATGAGGTAGTGGAGCAAGAGAAGAAAGAGGTGATAGTGGTTATAATAGTAATACTATATTTTTAAAAATTGATACTATTGCCGTGGAAGTGAGAGTAGAAAAAAAAGTAATGATGATTATGATATAATAAAAGTGACAATAATTACGGTATAATAAAAATGGTAATGATAGTGAAAGGGAAGTGGTGACGATGGAAGGAGAGGGGTGACAAAATAACAATAACAACAACAATAGTAAAAATTTTAAAATTTTTACTATCACCATCGCTAATGAAAATAGTGGTGGTGGTGGTAACGTAAATAATTGATAGACAATAAATAAAAATAATATATCATTATTTAAAAAAAACAATATCATTCTCATTTTTTTTTATTTCTACCTTTCTATAAGAATGAAATTATATTTAATTTTTATTTTCATTATCATTTCAATAAAACATTTACAAAATGAGAATAAAATTTACATTCTCAATTCTACTCGCTTCATTTCTTATTATCAAATATCACCTTAAAGATTTTTTTAGAAATTTTTCTTGATTTTAGTTACCATAGAGGTATATTAGTCGTTTTTCTTAGTTGATAATATTAATTCCAAGTATTGATTATAAATCAAATTAGTTGCATAATTATTATTTTTAAATACAAATTCTTATCCTATAATTAGGATCTCATCTTTAACCTCTCACTCTTTCACTTTTTTTTTTTTTTTTTGAGTCCTAAGGTATTTCAAACCTAAAGGTCTAATATCTCATTATTCCGTAAAGGCATAAAGTGAATACAATTACTTAAAATAAATTTTCTTCATGTACAAAAACTCAAAAGCTGAAACTATTTATTTAAATGATTAAAGTTCTTTATGCTCAAACTAATTTTTCTGGATCACTCTTTCACGCTTTCAATGGAACAATTTCTCACTTTTTTTATATTGATGTCAATTTCCTTTGATGTTCGCATATGATTCTATATTTATACCCTATGTATCTTCTCTATCTTACAAAAACGTATATTTTCTATATCCTTTCTTTAATTTGCTTCAAATAATATCCTCTTTACAAACACGTTATTATTAATTTGTAAAACATTTTTAAAAATATTTGGGTTTAAGATTCTACTATGTGTTTTTTTAGCTCATGTTTAGATTTTTTTACTTTAAATTGTTTTTTAGATCGTATTCAGCATAAAATAATAATTAAATAATGTTGTTTTGAATAGTAAACAACGCAATACATAGATTATCATTAGTTTGAATTTAAACATTAAAAAAAGAAGGTTAAAATGGCCCGTAATCTCTATCGTGGTAAAGACTCTCCTAGTCTCGTTAACCATTACCGCTAACTCATTATTAGTTGCCTAATAAATGATGAAAAGTACAAAAATCAAGTAGAACAGGATGGAAATGAGACGGATGCAGAACCCTGTCCACGTTCCAGCCCAATGGGCTTCAGCTGCATCCGTTTTCAAACTAGTATTCGTAAGGAAATGGATATTGGCACAGCCTTACTCATTTGCTTTTTTACATAACTACCCTTACATAACAAAAGCTGAAGAATTGTTTGGGTTACCCCACTTCGATTCTATTTCTTCTTTCCACTGTGCAAAAATAATGCAGCATCAATCTCGGTAATATAAATTAAAGGTTGTAGGACCCACTAAGCCATTTATCACCTCCTGCTCTTCTCCCGAGGTTTAAAGGCAAAGATTGCCTCCCAGCTACCAGGTTTGGTAACTTCAAATCTTTGCAGTTTATTTAGATTTTAAATTATATATTTTTTTAGTATTTATTTTTATTTTTAACAATAAAAAAAGTTAACCATCAACTGTCAACCCTTTACCCTTTAACATTTTAGGATTTTTTTTTCAAATTAGTTAACTGGGTTAAAATATAATTTATATAAAATTATATAATGACTATTTATTAGATTTTAAAATTAATAATGCTTATAAAAAAATTAAAAATATAGATAATTAAATAGAAAAAAAATATATTTAAATAACAAATAAAAATAAAAAAATTTGATTATAAATAAAATAAAATATTTATGCTCGTATGGTAGACAAATTAGTATGTTGACCTATCAATTTAATAGTTATGTCAGCATAAATTTAACAAAAATACTTGAGTAAAAAAATAAAAATTTTAATTAAAGTCAATTTAATTAATACAAGACTTAAATATTGTATTTCTTATACTTAAAGCCTATAACAAAACAATTTGGTTGATACTTAAACATTTTTTTAAAAATATTTACAAAATAAAAAGGCTATATGTTTCGTTTTTTATATGATTAAACTTGTATTTGTGTATTCTAAAATCTGTAAATATCAATAGAGAAGAAGCTCCACATCAAAATAAATTAGTAGGAGAGAAGTTAATGTATTTATAATGACTGTTTATATTAATAGGAGAGAAACGATGTATTATTGGTTATGCCATGTGTTGTCGGTGCAGCGATTGGATTTGGGATTTGATGGCGGCGGCACCGCGGTGGAGCTGGTTTTTTTGGGATTTGATTTTCCTTTTTTGTTTTTCAAATTTCCCCATTTACGTTGGCGGTGGTTTGGATTTTTATCATTATAATAACTATCAACGGCAATAATGCAAATTGAGTGGGGTTCCTAGGAATTAGAGAAGTCTAATCCAAGGACAAATTGGGTATTCAGTATACGAAAAGGGGCAAAAAAAAAAAAAAAAAAAGTAAGGAAGGCTGTGCCAATAGCAACTCTCTATTTGTAAATATCCGTAAAGCTAAAAGACAAGTTGGTCCAATGGGACAAAAAAGTAGATTTTGTGTTTCGCAAAAGTAAAAGTAAAGAAGATTATTAAATTCCCCCTTTTTCTTTTCTTTTTTTTTTTTGGCTTTTAGGGATGCTTTATGCATGGCTAGTGTTTCATTCCCAATCCCCACTTTTCCTTTCGAAAGAATCCCTATAGTTTAACTATAAATGTTCTAACTTTTAACCTTTTTTTTGTCATTGAATACATATTTTTTTAGTAGATTAATTTTTTTTTCAAAATTATTAATTAATTAATTATTTTTTATCAATTATTTTGTTATTTAATGACATGTAGTTTGCATCAAACTATTAAATTATAATTTTATTCTTGGAGGAAACTTTTCCTCTTAAATTATTTCGTTATTTTTTTGTAACATAAATACTCAAATTGTTTTTATATTCAAAAGATAGAAAAAAAGAAAAATAATTTAGGAAAGAAAGTGTGAAGGAAAAAAATTATAATTTAGTAGATAGAGACAAGCGACACGTTATTATATAATGGAACAATTGTTAAATTTTTTTTAAAAAATAGATTGATATTTTTGAAAAAAAATCGATATATTCAAACAAATAAAATTAAAATTTATGTATTTAGTTAAAAAAAATTAACAATGGATGTATTTATAATGCATTTATCTATTGAAAGAACATCACAAGCCTTGATGTTTATTGATCCAGCCATTAAAAATAAAATGGATACTAATTAAGTGGAAGGTTTGAAGTTGAAATTCCTATAAATGTCCATTTCCGAATTGGGGGTGGGGGTGTGTGTGTGTGTGTGTGAGAGAGAGAGAGAGAGAGAGAGAGAGAGAGAGAGAGAGAGAGAGAGAGAGAGAGAGAGAGCGAGAGAGACTTAACAAACATGATTTTTAGTGTAACATTTACAAACACAATTTGAGATCGAAATAGTTGATTGATTTGAAATGAGTGGAGATACCATGTTTTTTTTATTTTTTATTTTTCCTGTTTTTGATCAAAACGAAAAAATAGCTAGTACAAGTTTGGTTTTTCTTTTTCCACCTTTTAGGTTCAGCTTGAGTCACACTCTTTAACCAAAGAAATAAAGCAGAACTTAAAATCTTTTGATTTGCTGGGAAAAGAAGATTCCAAAGAGAAAAGGAGGACACAGCGTGAATGAACATTATTGCACAACCTCATCAATCAGACAAAAAAGAAAGAAAGTGAAAGATAAGTACTAAGTAGTGGAGGAAAGATGGGTTAGATGCTCGACTTGACAGACAGTTATGGGGAGTTCATCAATCACTGACAAATTCTAACACACACACACACGCACAAAGATCATAGTTTTTGTCTTCCAGTTCTTCAATGGCTTTGCATTCTCGTTGTCTGCTTCTCTATCTATTCTTTATATCTTCTGTTATATGCCAAGTTACAGGTGAGTTCTTCTTTATTCTGTAACTCTTTTCTCAATTTGAAGGATATTTTCTTTTCGTTGTTACGATCCTACCTACGCAGTAACAGAAAGATATACATTCCAGCTTGTTTTCTTGTTCAAATCTAAAACATATTTTCATGCGTTTGCTTTATGCAATTAAAAAAAAAAAAATGAAATGGGACTCGTTGAATTTACTTTATTGTCAATTGCCTGCTAGATACAAGTTGCACTTGCTGAATTTATTTAGTATATAGTACAGAAACAATAAGAAAGAATGATAATGATTTTTTTTTTAATTATTATTTGTGCTGATGATTGGCATTGTAATATAGATGAAAACCCAATGATATGTTGTAACCAATTCGAACATGCAGAATTTATCAGTATAGATTGTGGAAGCACAAGTAATTACACAGATCCAAGAACTGGACTGGCTTGGATTTCAGACAATGGTACTATCATGAACTATGGAAAATCAGCAGAAGTACAAATTCTAAATGGAAATATGCAGTATCGAAGACGGCGAGACTTTCCTATAGACAGCAAGAAGTATTGTTACACTCTAGGCACCAAAGAGAGAAGACGGTATCTTGTCCGTGCCACATTTCAATATGGAAGTTTCGAAAATGAAGATGCATTCCCCAAATTTGATCTCTATTTAGATGCAACTAAGTGGTCAACTGTAGTAGTATTGGATACTTCAAGAGTGTATGTGAAGGAAATGATTATTAGGGCTCCTTCAAGTTCAATTGATGTGTGCATATGCTGTGCTACAACTGGTTCTCCCTTCATATCCACTCTAGAATTGCGACCTCTCAACCTTTCAATGTATGCAACTGATTTTGAGGATAGTTTCTTCTTAGAGGTAGCGGCCAGAGTAAATTTTGGTGCTCTAAGCAAGGATGTCATAAGGTTAGCTGATTTCCACTCGCTTTTGTATTAAATCTGGTTCTTCTGCAACAAGCAAAGATGTCAAAATATATAACATTTGCCTCTCTCAGGTACCCAGAAGATCCGTATGACAGAATTTGGAATTCTGATCTTGAGAAAAGGCAAAACTACCTTGTAGGGGTGGCCCCTGGCACAGTTAGAATCAATACATCGAAGTACATAGACACTAGGACTAGAGAATACCCTCCTGTTAAAGTAATGCAAACAGCTGTTGTTGGCACTGAAGGGATACTCAGCTATAGGTTGAACCTTGAAGATTTCCCTGCCAATGCTCGAGCTTATGCATATTTTGCCGAGATTGAAGACATGGGAACGAAGGAGACTCGGAAATTCAAATTGCAGCAACCCTACTTTCCTGACTACAGCAACGCAGTGGTAAATATTGCAGAAAATGCTAATGGGAGCTACACACTTTATGAACCCAGCTACATGAATGTGTCTCTGGATTTTGTTCTTTCATTCTCTTTTGTCAAGACCAGAGATTCTACACAAGGACCACTCTTAAATGCAATTGAGATTAGTAAATACCTAAAGATTGAACCAAAGACTGACAGCCAAGATGGTAAGTTTAAACCTCGGCATATTGCGGTTTAACTAATCCTAAAAAGTAAAAACCATCTGTATGCAGAGTTCCAAATCATTACGTTGTGCTTGATATTGCCTGACATTATGAAGAAGAATGTGCTTGACCACTATTAGCTATATGAATAACTACAACTTCATTGGCAGTGACTGTTCTCAATGCCCTTCGCTCTCTGTCTTCTAAAAGTGCTTGGACAAACGAACAAGGCGATCCTTGTGTTCCTGCTCACTGGGAATGGGTGAATTGCACCTCAACCGCATCACCAAGAATCACAAAAATGTAACTTCTCCTCACTTAGTTAATTCCAGATCATATTCATATTTTTTATACTGTATATTGCATATTTGCATTTGTGTTTGAAAATTAGTCCATTCATGTCAACTAGAGTACTTGCTTTGCAATGTTTAAACTGAATGCTACAGTTACCAATTCGGAGAAATAATAGATTCATCATACCTAGGAAATCCATTTGAAAGATTTGATCTAAAATCTCGTAGAACTGCCAATGCCAGTATGCCGCAATAATATGCTTCTATACAATATTAAAGGGTGTTGTTAACTTGCAATGGACTCCAGAAATGTTGCCACTTTAATTAAGAAGTTTATGGTTCGAACTTGCTGAGATCCTTATAAGAGTGACTCTGCTGACCTACTGAACAGTGCACTATCAGGAAAGAACCTGGAAGGGGAGATTCCACCTGAGATAAATAACTTGGAGCAATTGACAGAGTTGTAAGTGATATTATGCAACAGATAAACTGCACTACTTCATGTTCTTCTCTATCTTAACCTTTTTCTGTTTTCTTAGGTGGTTGGATGGTAACTTCCTTACAGGGCCAATCCCTGATATTAACAATCTTGTTAATTTGCAAATTGTGTAAGCTTTGAAATTCATGCTTTACATCTCATCAGTTTATTCTAAAACTGCAGTTTATGCTAGTCCATGTTTCTGTGAATTTACAGTCACCTGTAGAACAACTGACTAGTCCATTTCCTGCTTTATTTGATGGTCAACAGGCATCTGGAGAACAACAAACTGAGTGGCCCGTTACCCAGGTACCTGGGCAGTTTGCCAAACTTACAAGAACTGTAAGTAGCACTCTTGACTTATTTAACCGTCGCTATACATCACACTTCAACAGACCCTTGATTGCAATATGAAGTACAATCAATGTTTGATCCTATGCAGTCATGCTTCCATGACACTGCTATGACACTCAGTACTGTAAAATTCCTTTGTCCAGGTACATACAGAACAACTCCTTGACTGGGGAAATACCTTCAACACTGTTAACAGGAAAAGTTATTATTAAGTGAGTATTTCAAATTATCGTATGTCATTGTTTACTCTTTGGCTTATATGATCATAAATGGTTTGCTGAGCTGTTGTACCATAGGAAATTGGTGTAGATAATCTGAGAATGAAACACAAGAACCACCAAATACTATGGCACATAACATTTTATAAAGAGCTAAAATATGATTCTCTTGCAGTTATGAACATAATCCTGGCCTACATAAAGAGGCAGGAAAAAAGATGCATTCTAAGTTGATAGTTGGAATGTCGATCGGGATACTTGCAGCTCTATTAGTTGTTCTGATAGGAAGTTTACTATTCTTGCGTAATCTTCGAAGAAAGGCATCTCATCAAAAAAGTGATGCCCAAGGTCTGTATACCTCAGTTATCTTCATGTTGCTTAGCAAAATCTTCTGCATTTCTTAAGTGTTCTTGAGCCCATCAGGTAATTCCATGCACGCTACTACCAAACCTTCAACTGCGTATTCTGTAGCACGGGGTTGGCATATGATGGACGAAGGAGTTTCATACTACATTCCACTCCCCGAGCTTGAAGAAGCTACCAAAAATTTTTCCAAGAAAATCGGCAGAGGAAGTTTTGGGACTGTCTACTATGGCCAAATGAAAGATGGAAAAGAAGTGGCAGTCAAGATAATGGCTGACTCAACCTCTCATCTGACCCAGCAGTTTGTGACTGAGGTAACATCTTATTCAGCATACATAATTTGTTGGAGTTAGAGATTTGAACTTTGAAGGGTTAAAGAACAACAAACTTCACAAAGCCACTGTCACGAACATCAAAGGGCTGGCTAATTAACTACATTAACGTAATTGCAGGTTGCACTCTTGTCAAGAATTCATCATAGGAACTTGGTTCCTTTGATTGGATATTGTGAAGAAGAACATCAACGTATTCTGGTTTATGAATATATGCACAATGGAACTTTGCGTGATCACATACATGGTCTGCAATCTGAGCATAGCAATTTCTCTATTTTCCACCCTTATGTTTCTTCAGTAGTAACATTTTAAATTAAAATCAATGACACGAACTTCTAACAGGTTCTGATGACCAGAAGCGCTTAGATTGGCTTGTTCGTCTGCAGATTGCAGAAGATGCAGCAAAAGGTTAATATAGAACTTATTTGTTTATGCATTAGTCTTTTGTTTACAACTTCACAAAATAAACATATATTTAGATATTTGTAGGACTTGAATACCTGCACACTGGATGCAACCCCGGTATCATACACCGAGATGTTAAAACCAGCAACATTCTCCTAGACATCAATATGAGAGCGAAAGTGTCAGATTTTGGGCTTTCAAGGCAAGCTGAAGAAGATTTAACCCATATATCAAGTGTGGCACGAGGAACAGTTGGCTACCTGGATCCTGAGTAAGGCACATTCATTAGGTTTGCGTAACCATCATTTTCTTGATTTCTTCTACAGCTTGTGAACCAACCATGTAACTGCTTCTTCAGGTACTATGCAAATCAGCAATTGACTGAAAAAAGTGACGTCTACAGTTTTGGAGTAGTTCTCCTTGAACTGATATCGGGAAAGAAACCTGTCTCAACAGAAGATTTTGGAGCTGAATTGAACATTGTTCATTGGGTATGCATTTTTGCTATCATCATTGTTTTCAAAGACATATATGCATCTTTCTTGAATTGGAGCAAATATATATTTCTAATCATCATCTGCTCACTATATATCAAATCAAATTAAGACTTAATCATCCTGAGCTGCTGCTATCTACTGCAGGCAAGGGCCTTGATTCGTAAAGGAGATGTGATGAGCATTGTAGATCCTGTTCTAATAGGAAATGTCAAGATTGAGTCCATTTGGAGGATTGCTGAAGTTGCTATCCAATGTGTAGAACAACGTGCAGTTTCGCGGCCAAGGATGCAAGAGATAATTTTGGCTATACAAGAAGCTCAGAAGATTGAAAAAGGAACTGACGGCAGTGAAAAAATACTCTCTGGTAATTCAAAGGCACAATCTTCCCGGAAAACATTACTTACTAGCTTTCTTGAGATTGAGAGCCCTGACTTATCTAATGGTTGCCTTGTCCCAGCAGCCAGATAATTTTCTTTCCGGCACCCTTTGCTTAATTATCTGTAACATATACTCTTACCATATTCACATATTTTTGTTGCTTTTCTTTTGTAATTTAATCTGAATGAAATGTTACCATACAATAAAATTGAGGTCTAGAATTATTTGTCCAATGGCAACAAACAAATTAAATGAGTACTTCACCAGAAAAAGAAAAAGTAAAAGCAATTGAGAGGCGCCTACCTTTAGGACAAACCAACTTATTCAATAGCAGTATGTTCTGGAAGATGTAATCATTGTCTTGCCCTATCCAACGGTTAGACAGAGCGAAAGCCATTGGTTAACTTATGGCTAGGGATGACAATTTATCTCGTTTCGTCGCAACCCCGTCTCACCCATCTGTCTTGTTTGAGATAGAGATAATACTCAAAATTTAATCTTGAACGAGACAGGGACGAGAATGAGATAAAATTTTTTATCTTTAGAAATGATAATTTGATGGGATTTTGTTCTGTTTGAAACGAAGATGATGCTCAAAATTTTGCTTCAAACGGAACACTGAATAGGAATGGGGTGAAATTTTTTGAGACGAGATGAGAGTGAGGATTCCGTCTGTCCCCATTGTCATCCCTACTTATAGCTGGCTATTTTTTTTTTTAAAAAAAAAACTGAAAAATCCCACCATATTCTGAATCCCAAACGGGGTTTAGGTCTCTTGGTTGACCTTCTGGCTTTGAACTTATAAATATAATGATTTTGATTCCACATTTTAGGTGGATTGTTTGAACAGTTCCTATAAACTACAACATTAAATAGCAAACAGTAATATTTTAATCTCATCCACCATATATATATATATTTTTTTGTTTAGCAAGAAGAATAAACAAAGCGTTTTATCACATTAAAGCCACCATAGATTTATATAGATATGATTCGACCACATTATCTTAGGGATTTCTATTTTATGATTTAAAATCAAGCTGTCACCAATTTAACAAGGCACCTAAAAAACAAAAAAGAGCCAACTCTTGTTCTAGTTTACCGAACTTAAACAATCATAGGCTAGTTTACCTAAAATATTCAAGCAAGAACCTTCACCAAAACTTGGTTAGCTTCTTCTTGTAAGGCTGTTGGATGGTACAACGAGTCATAATCATACACAAATGACATAAAATACACAACAAGAAAATTCAAAAGATAAAAGAGGATTTAGAACCCATGAATGGAAGATTATTTAAAAAGGAAAAAAAGAAGAAAAGAAAGGAAGGCAACAACTAAAAGCAAAAGATTAGATAAGACCAAAAAAAATAAAAAGGAAAATTAAAAGGAGAGCATCCTCAACAAACAAACAACACTCAGCCACCCACCTCATCAGAATTTTACATACGTATTCTCTGACCATTAAAAAAAAAAAAAAAAAAACCAAACCGAACCAGTCAGTGTCAAAAAGCCGCCTCCAGAAAGAAAGCTAGAGATATATACCTTTTCCATTCCTTTCCCTTCTCCTTCTTATTATACTCCCTCTGTTGTTTTTTCTTGCTCAGAACACCAGCAAACCCAGTTGCTTTTTTTTTTTTTTTGGTGGGGTTTCAGTTTGACGGAGATGGAAATGATGTATTATCAGTTGAGCAACTCATCTTACCAAGACTCCCTCAAAGTTTTGGAGGCTGATATTCAGCATGCTAATGCTTTGTGAGTTAGATTTTCAACTTCTATGAGATGGGTTGTTTTTGTTTATTTATGGATTTTAAGAATCGACTGTTATGCTGTGATCAACAACCATAACATAAGTTGTTTTGTTTATAAATTTGAGGAAAAAGAGGATAGGAATTTTTGTGGTTGTTGTGTGTGTATCTTATTACTTTTTATGGTCAATTTTAATTTGTGGTATGCAATTTTTAGATTTTTTGAATTTATAGAAGATTTTTTTTCGAGTGGGAGTTTATCTATCTGTTGAGTTTTATGAGCTGAACATAAAATTTAAAAAAAAAAAATTGCTATATCCATGTACAGCGGACACAAAGTTTGGATTTTGGTGTTGGTATTGCAATGTCTACCTAGTCAATTGCTGCTAAAGTGTGCTGCTTTGACTCAAATTTCATGCAATTCCAAGTGCTAATAGGCAGAGATAGTTGGGACTTGGGATTCTTTTTTCTTATTATGCCTTCTCTGTTTTCAGAATGAAATGGAAAACTTAAAGTTTTATTCCTTTTTAGGGACCAGTACTATTTTTGGGCCAAATTAAAATCTAAGTGTTGATATTGTGGCTTAGTTTAACTGACTTTGTTACATGATGCGAATTATGGTGTGTTAGAGCTGCTGCAATTCCAAGGGGCAAGGGTGGAGCGCGTCTGCAGATGAAATTAGTTTACAATCACTGGGCTCCTCTCATTTTCTTTTTGCTACAACGGATAGATTGTTCTTGTATTGGCCTACTCCCCAGATATCTAAATTTCTTTCATGTACTAGTATATAAGGTCAGTTCTCTTTTTGGTCCGTTGATTCGTAAAAGATAGTTTGCCAAAGTTTCCATTTGTTACATACTGCTGCATATAATTGGCAAATTTTTATGTTGTTTGCTGTTTAATGTCTGCAGGTACATACCGATGGTAGACCAAGGCTATCTAAGCATGGAAGGAAAGCAACAATTCGGGAATTCTATGGTATACAAATTATCATTTTTTTTTTGGGCTTTTCTTAATCAAAGACCATGATTATAAATGCACTGCAACTAATATCCAACCACTCTGATTGTATGTTTCATTTTGTCTCCCCGTTTGTTTTCATAAAATTGAACGCCAGGTGTTATATTACCATCTCTTCAGCGGCTTCATAGTAACTTAGAAGAGTTGGAGGATGTTAAGGGAGATAATTATGGCATGGAGATTTTGTGCAAAAAGAAGGCGGAAGGAGGTAACAGGTTTGCCAATATTGATTTAGAGAGGGAAGATGAATGTGGAATTTGTTTGGAGCCCTGCACCAAAATGGTCTTGCCTAATTGTTGTCATGCAATGTGCATCAAATGCTACCACAATTGGTAACTACAAGCGTCGAAATCTTGCTGCAATATCTACGCCCTTTTCCACTATGAATACTTGATGTTGAAGAGAGTTGTCATCATTTTCACTTATATGGTTTTTTCACAATGCAGGAACACAAGGTCAGAATCCTGCCCTTTTTGCCGTGGCAGCTTAAAGAGAGTCAACTCGGAAGACTTATGGGTTCTCACTTGTAACAATGAAGTTGCTGACACAAAAGCGATTTCCAAAGAGAATTTGTTGCGCTTCTACCTCTACGTCAATAGCTTGCCAAAAGATTATCCTGATGCCCTTTTCTTAGTGTATTATGAGTACCTAATGTGAATTGAAAGTAAATGAGAAGAACTACGTATAGAGGGAAAATGCCGACCTTCAAATGTAAATAGAGTCTGGTAAGAACTGTTGTCCTCGATTCTTAATCAGAATACTCAATCTCATCTTATGTTGAGTTCTTGAACATCAGTATCCTTGATTCCCTGTGTTGAGTTCTTGAACATCAGCATCCTTGATTCCTCATGATAAATAAATATAAATATCTAAATATATATCTAAATATGTGAAAATTAAGTTTATTTTTAGAACATATAGAAGCACGTTTATGCTTACTTATCAGCTATACCCATGATGTATTTCTCCTTTCTAACTGTCATAATGGCAATATTTAGACGAATGTATTTTCTCATTTGTCCTAGCATGCATCGTGGAGCTGTTTCTTATAATGAAATGGATTGTAGAGTGGAGTTTGTGCATATAGTTTTCACCTTGTTTACCACTTTCAACTCACTTTAGGATTATATAGCATTGGTATCAGAAGTCTTATGCATGTTGCACTCGTATGCATCATACTGCTTCTGCTTCTGGAAGCAAAAAGTCTGGTTTCGTTGCTAAGTTCCATTTGCCCTTTTTGTTTTTCGCTTTTTCTCTTGGTCTAATCTCCGTTGCTATGGAAAATGTCTATAAAATGCCATTTAAGAAAATTCAAATCGCCATGCCGGTACTGTTTTGCTTAAATAAGCGAGCATGCGAAACTTGCTGGAAAATGGATCCTGCAGTGATATTAATCGAGTAGAATATCATGATTGAGTATACGTCCAGCTCCTTTAGTCTAAGATCTACTCTTATGATTTTGTTACATAGTTTATTGGCTCTTAAGATGGAATTGTGTGAGAATTGCTTCAGCTAGTCACTGTCACAGAAGGTTTTAGCTATTTTTTTGTTGCTTCCCGAATAAGTTATTGACATTGTTTCCGGCTTTAGCAATGTTAAAAAATGCTATTTTCTTGATTTGTGCCTGCATGTCATTTATACGTTGTCTGTTTAGTTATGAGGAAAAGGAGGAAAGATTGAAAACAATCAGTGCAATTGGAACACTCTTCCTTCCTGCTAATTAGGGTCTCGTTCCACCCGATCAAATGAAGGAAGCCCCTCATCCTTCCCCTTCCACCCAGCCAACCTCCTTACTGAAACGAGGTCGTCATGCTCTATCTTGCGCATTAACTTTAGGGAAATATCAGAAGTAAAGAATGTTATGAACAACCGACTCTGTTTAATTGCTCAAACGAGTGATTACAAGTAGAAATGGCAATTCCACCCAAACCCCATAAATATCTTGAACAATTGATTATGTTTAACTGCTCAAACGAGCGATTACAAGTAGAGATGGCAATTTAACCCAAACCCCGCCAAATATCATCTTAGCTGATCTGAACATATAGGTTTTTTTTTTCATTTTTTTAATTGATAGTTACTATTTTGAGTTGGGTATGCATATGAAAGTTTTTTACTCGCTAGGTAATAGATAGGATTAGTTAATTGCTTGCGCTACATTGTAGGTTTAGTTGAACAAAATCATTTTAAAATTTTTTAATTATAATTTCGTATTTAATTAACTTTTTATAATTTTTTTCCTTTAAAAAACATAAATCATTCTTTTTTTATGGATTTATTTTAATTAAAATGTTAATCAAGAATTAAAAAAGTTTTAAAATATATTTTTCATAATATTGTATTAAAAATATATATTTATAATTAATAAATAGACTCTTATAAAATCTAACAAATGGAAAAAAAATCTTATTTAATGCTGATGAGAAAATTAATTTTTGAAATTATCCACGCAACGCAACTGGCGAGATAGAACAAAATCATTTCAAAATTTTATAATTTTTTATTTAATTATTAATATTTTTTGTTTTTCATATATTTTCCGGTTAATAAAACATGATTTATTTTTTTTATTTAGGGTTCCTAAATAAAACTTGTAATATATAATTTAAACCTAAAATATTAATTAAGAATTTAAAAATAAATACTTTATATTGTGAAAAAAAAGAAAAGAAAAGAAATGATAGGAGAATTGAAGAAAAGAATGACAAAAAAATGAAATCAATATAATGTGAATATAAGTGATAAGAACTTCAAAGTTTCTCTTATTCTCTCAATAGAACTTGTATGCATATCAAAGTTTTTTACTCGTTAGGTAATAGATAGGATATGCCCGATCCAAAGCTCAACCTAAATCCAACCTATATGTATACATAGTTTTAAATTAAATGTGATATATACATATCCAATACTAACATTATACACATATATATATGTATAATATTTATAATTTTATCATTAATATACATATAAGTACCTCAAATATTTATGTTATATTTTTATGTTATGTTGAATAATAAATAATACTTAGATAATGAATACCCAAAACCTTGTTAAAAACTATTAAATATGGGTTGATTAGACAAATGAAAAAAACAAAGATATTTGAAGTGAAAAGACTCTTGATGATATTTATTGAATCTATAATTGCCTTATTTATACATAGAAGTTTGCTGAGAATAGACTCTAATTGAAACAAATACCTCGACAACTAAGCGTTTAAATAGGTGCAACTACTCATCCGTTATTATTTGACCGAGAAAATAAATATAAATAAAACAATGGCTTAAGCATAAGACACTTGTACTATGAGATGACAAGTTTTGAATCATTTGAAGTCTAAAGAAGTCATGCTTAGCTCGAGGAAGTGATTTGGTAAAGATATCGGCAATTTGAGAATTTATGTTGCAATACTTCAAACGTATAGTTCCATCTACTACAAGCTCCCGAATGAAGTGATGCTTGATATTAATATGTTTTGTCCTCCGATGGAATGCTAGATTCTTGGTCATAGCAATTGCAACTTTGTTGTCACAAAAAAACTTAGTTGCATTCTTCTATCTTTGATTAAGATCGGCAAGGATCTTTCTTAACCAAATAACTTGACATGTCGAAGATGTTGTAGCTATATATTCAATTCCGAAAGAGGACAAGGCAACTTTTGCTTGCTTATTCGAATTCCAAGTAATAGCTTCGATCTAAGGGTGAACATATGACTCCAACAAATACTATATGGGGAATGAACTCCCATCTTCAACTCGGTGGTGTAGGCAAAATTCTTTTTTCAAGCTCACATAGGTCCGGTGAAAGATAAAAAAATACTTAAGATCCTCGGACTCTCCCTAAGCCCTAATCAACTACAAAGCTCGATCACAATTCCCCGATCCGTTTGTAGATTCTCAATCATCTTAACCATCTAATCCAACACCTTCTCGGACGCTACCTTAGAGAACACCTTCTCATAATTTGAAGCACACACCTCTAACAAATCAAGACTTAGCCTTTGGCTCATATACTTTTACTCAAAAACTTCCTATTTATAGCCTTAACAATCTTCATACCATTAAACCCTTCGCTATTGATCATCGTACATATCCTCCAATTCAAACCCTAGCCTGGCTTTTCCATTGTCTCTAATGTAGCTTCATTAACCATTTTGGATTCGAGTGTTAGGGTTTACGGTATTTCTTTCACTTTATCACTTATAAGTTAACTCATTTGAGCCCCGTCAATCTTCAACGGTTCACCCTATTTAGATAATTTTAGCTTGTTCATCTTTTATTTATGCTTAAAACATAAACATCAACTATTGAAAAACATAAAACATAACCTTAAGTTCAGCTTATCATTGTAAAACCCTAGTTTAGGTTTGAAAGAAGATGTGAAATCTTTAGTTGAAATATTCCCATGGAGGTGAAGCCATTTTTAGAAAGAATAGAAAGAAAAGAAAAAAATCAATATTGAACTATTTTAATTTTCAAGTGGTTCCGTTATCGGTGGTGATGAGACTCTTCAATCAAACAAACAACATAGTTGAACTTTGTTATCATTGACCAAAGTATTTTCTCAATTATACTAACATCCTCCATCTTTTCACCATGGATCCATAACTTATTTATAATTGCCATTGTTCCGGAGAAATAATTTGTAATTGATTCTCCATTTTTCATTTGCAAAGTTTCAAACTTAGCATAAAGATTTTGTAGAGGTTGCCTCTTCGCCCTTGCATTCCCTTGATACTTATTTTTCATGGAATCTTAAATATGTTTGGAGGTGTCTTTGTGAAGAATTGTTTCCAAGATAAAGTGATCAATAGCTTAGAGCAAGTAATTCTAAGCTTTGAGATCTTTTAGCCACTACCCTTTAAGCTCTTTTTATTATGCATCGATCAGCGCTACATCCGTTGCTAGTTATGCTATACCATTCTTAACAATCTATCGAGTACTCTTTGGGCTGAAGAAAATTTTCCATCAGCATGCTCTAATGGTCATAATGACCATTAAAGTGTGGAATAGCAAATTGCATAAAATTTTTATCGGTAGCCATTTAAAAATACTCTCATGGGTGTTAAGAAAGGTAGTTCCTATTGCACACTCTCTTAACTCTCCTTATTGTTGGCTCGATACAAAAATGATTAAATATGGACTAATAAGACAAAGGAAAAAAAATATAGATATTTGAAGTGAAAAAACTCGATGATATTTATTGAATATGTGATTGTCTTATTTATACATAAAATTTTGCTAAGAATATACTCTAATTGAAACAAATAACTCGGTAACTAAGAGCCTAAATAGATGTAGCCACTCATTTGTCATTTAACTAAGAAAATAAATATAAATAAAATAATTTTTTTTAAGCATAAGACACTTTGTATTATGAGATGACAAATTTTGAATTATTCTTCAACAAACCCAATGAGTTGATTATGAAAATTCAAATATTTACTCGATGGATAATGAATATCTACATTTCTTATTAGATAAGTAATAAATAGAATATAGATATCCAAAACTTAATTTGTAGTACCTATTTTTATCTCTAATTACAAATGAATGATGGGTCTTAGTTGATAGTAGTACCATCATAATTTGGCATGACTAAACCCAAGTTATGGAGAAGTAAGTATGGTAGATTAAAGGAACTTTATGTAAATATAA